GGATTAGGTATGCACCATGCTGAGGGACATGGATGGCTTGCGGAAGAGACGCTGAACGTGAGTGCGGAAGCGTGGGTGCTTTCCGTAAGGTTCTTACCTTGTCGACATGGCCTGGTCGAGCCAACGTTGCTGGTGCTAGGGAGGCGAGGATGGTGAAGATGGTGGTCAGCAATCGAGGTTTGGATGCAGGGCCTGGCAGACGTGCAAAAGTGCGCTCTCGACTCGACGCGCCGTTCGGAGCCGATGCGAAAAATTTACAGATTGTCGAGTCGAAGCGTCACAACAGGCTTTGACATTTTTCGAATATCCGAGAAGAAGCCCGCAAGCCTTTTTTTTTTCTCTTTCTTCCGAGCCCGGTAGGCCGGAACTCGGACATGGTTCCGAGCACGGAAGAGCCGCTCCACCTTGCCCGAGCCTCACTCCACCTTGTCAAGACACTCGGACCTCGATCTCGTCGTCAAGCAAAGCGGAGCGAGGGCTACAGGTCAGCAGAGGGCGAGCCGAAGCACAGCAGCCAGCACAGCAGCCGAGCTTCAGTTGCGCAGCAAGACGAATCGATCGATACTTGCCATGTCTGCGCTGCCCTTCGCCGCGGCTCGTGGTGGGCCATCGTTGGTGGGCCGTCGCTTGCTTTCGAGCCGGGCGCCTGCAGCTCTGGCCAGGCTCCCACGATCGTTCCACGATCCAACAGGGCCGATCAAACTCGCCTCCGTCTCGTCCTCGAGCGTTGCAGCCGCTGTCCGCGCCCTCCACGCATCCTCTGCCTCGCTCAAGAAGCAGGAGAGACGCAAAGACGCAGATGCCAAAGAGTTCTCTCATACGCTGCAATTGCCAAGCACTCCGTTCGGGATCCGCGCAAATGCTGCTCAGCGCGACCATCTCTTCTATGACAGAACGTGTGGCGAGCTCTACGCATGGCAGAGGGCCAGGCACGACTCGACTGGTGATTTCGTCTTCCACGATGGTCCGCCATATGCCAACGGCCATCTCCACTGCGGACACGCTCTCAACAAGATCCTCAAGGACATCACAAATAGATACCAAGTGCTCCGCCGAAAGCGCGTCCACTTCATGCCAGGCTGGGACTGCCACGGCCTCCCCATCGAGGCCAAGGCGCTCGCCAACGTCAGTCCCCAGGAAAGACCAAAGTGGACGCCAAAGGACATTCGCACACGTGCACGTCGGGAGGCGATGAAAGCCATCGAGACGCAGAAGCAAGAGTTCCGCACGTTCGGCATCATGGCCGATTGGAGCAACACCTCCACCTACAGGACCCTCGACCCCGCCTACGAAGCGCGTCAGCTCCGCGTCTTTGGCGAAATGGTGCGCAAAGGTCTCATCTATCGCCAGTATCGCCCCGTATACTGGTCACCCTCCAATCGCACAGCACTCGCAGAGTCGGAGCTCGAGTACCGCGACGACCACACCAGCAAGGCCGTCTATGTCGCCTTTGATCTCATCGCCGGTCCCACGCTTCTCGAAAAGCTGGGTCCGCATGCTCATCACGCCCGTCAGCTCAAGCCGATCATTTGGACCACAACACCATGGTCGCTCCCTTCCAACATGGCCATCAACGTCAATCCTGACCTCGAGTACAGCATCGTTCGCCGAACCGACAGTCAGGGACCCTGCTACCTCATCGCTTCCGACAGGATCGAAGCGTTGGAGTCTCTTACAGTCGACCATTCACCCGACCGTGACGGCGACCCGCAGCTTTTCGGGCCAGTGGAGGAAGTTGCTCGCTTCCGAGGCGCAGACCTTGCCGACAGCACCTATCGATCGCCCCTCTCTTCCTCCCCTACCGCCGCTCGACCGATCCTCATGGCTGACTATGTGACGGCACTTTCGGGCACGGGCCTCGTCCATTCAGCTCCAGCCCACGGCGCAGAGGACTACCAGATCTGGAAACAGCAGGGTCGACTGCAGACAGATGGCATCTTCTCCCCTGTCAACGACCAAGGCTGCTACTCTTCCGAGATCCTGCAGCTGGACGCCTCCCAGTCGTCAGATTCGAGAAGTGACACCTCCATTGGGCGGCGGTTGATGGGCAAGGAGGTGCTCAGTGATGGTGCTCGGGAAGTCATCAGCATCCTCAAGGAACGGGATGCGCTCGTGTGTGCTCACACGCTGCGCCACAAGTACCCATACGACTGGAGATCCAAGCAGCCCGTAATCGTGCGAGCCACGGCGCAATGGTTCGCCAATCTGGACCGCATCAAGCAGCAGGCCATCGACGCGTTGCGCGACGTCGTATTCGTCCCTGCCAACTCGCGTGCGCGACTCGAGACCTTCATCACGGGACGCTCGGAATGGTGCATCTCACGCCAACGTGTGTGGGGCGTGCCCATCCCGGTCCTGTATGACCTCGCCACCGACGAGCCGCTGATGACGGTGGAAAACATCGAGCACATCGCGTCGGTGCTCGAAAGCAAGGGAACCGACTACTGGTGGGAGGCGGATGCTCAGGAGTTTGTCGCGCCTCAGTATCGCGACGAAAAGCAATCCTGGCGCAAGGGCGAGGATACGGTGGATGTATGGTTCGACAGCGGCACATCATGGGCCACTTTGAAGGATCAGCTCGCGCTGGAATCGCCGGAAACGGGCTCATCCGGTCCGTCCAGCATCGCCGACGTCTACCTGGAAGGCTCCGACCAGCATCGTGGCTGGTTTCAGTCGTCGCTCATCACAGCCGTTGCCACGACGCCCGAGGGACAGACGCCCATTGCGCCGTACAAGACGGTGGTCACGCACGGATACGTGCTGGACAACGAGAGTCGCAAGATGAGCAAGAGTCTCGGCAACGTCATCTCGCCCTTGACCATCATCAAAGGCGGCAAGGGCGCCAGCCAGCCGGCCTACGGCATCGATGTGCTGCGACTGTGGGTGGCGCGCAGCGACTATACCACGGATCCACCCATCGGCGACACGATCATCGCAAAGACGGCCGAGACGCTGCGAAAGCTACGGAACACGGCGCGATTCATGCTGGCCAATCTGCCGTCCGGGCAGGCGATCATCCCGCTGGAAAGATCGCAGATGAGACTGGTAAGGATGCGCATGCCAGCGGCGAACACTCTGGCTTTCATGCAGTCCTGCTGACCTCTGATTTTTATGCTTGACCCTTGAACAGCTTGATCGGTTCGTGATGCACGAACTGTACTTGCTGGAGCGAGCGTGCGCTGCAGCGTACGAGGCGTATGACTTTGCGCAGGTGGTCAGGCGGCTCACGGAATTCGCCAATGCGATCTTGTCGAACCTGTATCTGGACGTGGGCAAGGACTGCCTGTATCTGGATGCGATGGACGATCCACGCCGTCAAACCATGGTGAGCGTGATTGACGCCATCCTGCGAACCATGACGGGGATCATGGCGCCGATCACGCCGTTCCTGAGTGAAGAGATCCACCACTTCCGCAACGGCGCAAGCAGCGATCCCATGGAAGACAGCAAGGAGGCTCCTTCGGTCTTTGCAGCCGGTTGGCCGACGCTCGTAAGTGATGAAACGCTTTGAAATGCATCTGCTTTCGTTGGAGACGTCGACTCACCCTCGTCTGGAATCTCTTTCGACCCGCTGTGATCGACAGGACGCGCAATGGAGCGACACGACTACGGCCGGCCATTGCCATGAGCTGCTGAAGCTGCGCGATGCCAGCCTGGTCATGATCGAAGAGGCGCGACAAAGTGCGGGCATCAAGACCTCGTTCGAAGTCGAGATCGATCTGATCGTTACCGAGGATCAGTCGCAGGTCTCGACGATCTTGCAAGCTCACGGTACGTTGTTGTATGGCCACACTTGTCTGCCGCTACGACACATCGCTGATACATCCATTGAACGCTTCTTCACCACGCTGCCAGAGTCGGAACTCACCGAGCTCTTCAACGTGGCCCGAGTGAACCTGCTGCGCCAAGGCTGTGCCGCAGAGGCCGACCCCGAAGCTGTCCTTGTTTCACGCACTCTGGACTCGGGCGTATCGATGCGACTGTGCCGCTCGTCGCGCCACCGATGTCCGCGCTGTCGGACCATGCGCAGGGAAGCCGAGAGCGAGCGTCTCTGCCGTCGTTGCCAGGCGGTTGTCGATACGCTCTCAATCTGAAATACCCCGTGTATGGATGCCGTGCTCTCGTGTCCGAGTGTACAAGTGATGCCCTGGCTCCATAGTCGAGTTGGACCGTTCCATCCTGTTCACCGGGGCCGGTATTTGAAGGGCTCGAGTGCATGAAAGAACCAAGCCCGCTCGCCCAGATTTGCGCCGAGCATGACGGCCGAGCCAAGCATCCCCGCGACTCACCCCAGGCAGGTGGATTACTGGCGAGCGACCTTGCGAGGCTGCTCGATCAGGTGCGTAGGACCCGCCCGACAATGCCGAGATAGCGTGGGATTCGCTTATGCGCGCTCGGCATCAACCCTCGGGCTAAGTGTCCTATCCCGCTGGAATTGATTTGGATCGTACGCGGATGGCCGGCAGCGCTCTCCACATCTCTTGCTCAAATGTAGCGCCTTCCCCGCCCCTGACTTTTGCCCAAGCGCCGCCCGCCGGCTTCCGCTTCGGACGATCTCGTTAGTCTTCACGGACCAGAAGCCGAGCTCATCGCTAGCATGGGAGAGGAGGTAGCATGAATACGCCACAAATGCTGTCGAATGCGACGGAATGCCTGCACTCACTCTGTCATTGGCCGCATGAGCTCTCCAGCTGTTCTGACCGGAGCGACGGCAGTTGGTGAGCCTAGGGATCGGGCAGCACTTTAAATTTCCAACTGTTGCGGCAGCGTCGATGCTCTACGTTATTAATAGTGCGACCGGCAATCTCTCTACAGTGGCCTTGCTTTCCCCGGATTTCCACTCTTCGTTGATCTTGCGCGGCCGTCCGTCTAACTACCACAGCATACAAGCACCCATCCACGGTGCATCACGCCCTAGCCTGGTCACTGGTCTCGCTATTCCAAGTTTCCTGACCCAGAGGGCAAAGTGGTAGCTACGCAAGCATAGATACTTGCACACCATGGCGTCACAACGCCCCGCTCGTGCTACTTACAACTCAACTACACCGATCCGGGAAGAATCGAATCCCTACCTGCCTCTTGCGACCAGCGAAGACGTCACAAGCAACGAACTTCGACCCATGAACGAGGTACCTAAAGCACTCGACTACCAGCCACGCAAGTCTTTTCTCGAACGCATCGAACACAATCAGGTAGCGACCCGAGTTTTTTGGTTCTTTGTTGGCCTTTGGAGCGGCGGAATTGTTAGTTGCGTCGTTATTGTTCCGATCCTTCGAGCATGAAGCCCAGCCGATAGAGAACAAGTGTCAATTCCAAAGCGAATCGCCCTGTGACTTGGCGAAGCGGAGACAGGCTTAATTGAAAGATCCGCCTGGCACGGTGAGATCGAGCTCGTCATTGAGGAATGAGCGTGCCCAAGCGAAGAGCTCGGGGTCGTTGGCGAGGAAACTCCACTGCGGATGACCTGGCTCGACACCTGGAGCGGTTGCATACTGGAAAGGGTCAACTGCCACTGCGCCTGCGCCGCTTAGTGGCGTCGGCACGCCAGGCGGGAGTGCAAAGTGCGAGGAGGGTGTTGTGGGGCCCGGCACGACGGGGGGGACGCCTTGTGCATGCGGGCTCGCCGAGATTCGAGGGAAGAGTCCGGCGTCGGACCCCGGCGTCGCCGTATAGATGGTGCGTGGCGAGCTGAGGGGATGCGAAATGCCTGAATGGGCCCGCTGGAGTGAGGGTGCATGTGCCGCGCGATTGGTAGGCTCACCAGGCGACATGCCGGGAGAGAGGCGGTATCGGTGTGGCAGACGGGCGGTGCTGTTGTCGTTTGCCTGGCCGCCCTCTGCGTCGGGTCGACGACCCGAGTGAGCATAGGCCTCGTTGTTGCGATTTGTCGTCTGTGCCGCGCCGTTGCTGGCTGTGCTTTGGTGCTGCGGAGCGCTGTTGCTCTCCATGTCCAAGAGGCGATCGATGTACCTCGCATAGGAGAGACTCGAGCCATTCTGATGCGGCGTCCAGTTGCCTCCTTTGCGGAGGTACTCGGAAACGCGGGTCACGAGCTGGATGATCTTGGACGAATTGATAAAAGTGTACGTCGCCGCGAGTTTGGTCAGCTTGAGCGCAATCACGACGGCGTAGGTAGCAGTGACGCAGATGGAGTTGTAAGAGTGCGCGAGACGCTGCGGCGATGTGCGATCGATAAAGTCTTCGAGATAGCGGATGGAGACCGAGTGCAGATCCGAGACGATGCGCGTGGCCATCGAAGGAGGCAGCGTAGGCCATTGCAAAGGGAGCGAGAGGAGCTGCATGCGTGCATAGCAGATGTATAGAGAGCCCAGCTCGAACCGAAGCGGACGCGGATGGCTGGCCGAGCGTGAGGGGTTGACCACCCAACGTTCTTCCCACGACGAGAGGTCACGATGGCATCGGTCGAGATAGTGTCGAATCCACGACGAGTCGGCCTCGCTCGAGCCTGGTGTGCTGCTCCCCGAGCCGGAAGCGGTGGTGGATCCGTTGGACGCAGGCCCGGATCGGCTGCTGAGCATGCGGAAGAGCTCCTTGTTCTGAGCGAGTTGAGAGCGGAGCTCGATGAGCGCGACAAAGACGACGTCGGTGTGAAGTGCTTCCGGATGGAGGTGCCAGCCGCGCGACGACTCGACGATGGGATCCTTGGACAGAAGCGAGACGCGGCCGGTGTATTGGGAGGACGAGGCTTCGTGCAGCCAGATGTGCATCCATGCCCTCTCGCGGTTGCGCTGATGCCAGATTTCGTGCTGCTTGGCCGCGTCGGTCTCGGATGGAGCGCCAGCCAGGCCCGAGGATGGGGTGGGAGTCGACGAAGCTTGGTTGGAGGCCTGGTGTTGCAGCGAGGTCGAGAGCGCACGGGAGTGCATGTCGAGGTCGGTCGCGACACGGATGGCGTGGCCAAGCAGGGTCCAGGAGCGATCTTCAGACGGGTTCTGGGCGGGGCGGAGGTAGGCGGCAAGCATGAGGAAGCCCTGGACGATCTCGACGGAGCGCAGATTCTGGCAGTAGATGGCTGGGAGGAGCACGTTGTCGATGTGGAGCTTGAGGTCGTGCATGACGCGCGGTGCGTCGGGGAAGGCGCTGACGGTGGAGGCGAGCCAGCACATGGTGGTGAAGAGGAGGCAGGAGTGCGAGCGGATGTAGTCGTAGGTGTGGATGCGAGGATCAAAGAAGGAGAGCAGAGCCTCGAGCTTGACCATGAAGGTGTTGAAGAGCGTCTGGCTGGTCTCGAGGTCCATGATGCCCGCCGCCACGGGGTCCCACTCGTCGCGCACATCGGGACGGACGATGTGCAGGTTGGAGAGGAGCTGTGCCGATTTGCCGTACGAGGCGTTGCTGAAGAGGGTCGTGGGCGATTCTTGGGGGAGGATGGGTCTTTCTGGAGGCAGCGGCTCGGAGACATCCATGGAAGCCGGATCGGAGCTGCTGGACTTGTCTTCGGCAAGTGCGCCGAGGTTGGCCTGCTGCTGGAAGCGGGCGAGCTTCGCTTTGGCCTTTTTGAGACGCTGGTATTCGGGACGGATGCAGGTGAGACCGTGATCGAGGCATCGCTTGCACTGTTCTGGATGGTCCGAGATGCACTTGACCTTGCTGTTGCGGCACGCGACGCATGCGAGGAGCTTGGATGGATACGGTGTCCCGGCTGCGTGGGAGGACGTGCTCGCGGTTGCGTCCGAGCCGTTGAGGCCGCTCGACGAAGAGGGCGAGTGCTTGATCTTGGGCGCCTTCATTGTTTCCGAGACGGCGCTGCGCAGCTGGAGAGTCGAGCGTTGAAGTTGAAGCCCGGAATGCGATGCAATGCGATGCGATGCAATGCGATGCGGTGCGGTGCGGTGCAGTAAGCGCGCCTAAGCTTGGCTGCCGATGCACGACACTTTGAAGATGAAGATGGGTATCAAGTGACGAGCAGGCGGAGGTTGGCGAGAACACAAAAGGGTCGGATGAGGCGCTACCGTCATGAAAGCGTGAATGCAGACATGCCGAAAAGCGAGAGATGTGCGTGCCGTGCTGCTTGGTTCGGACGATGTTGCGGCGTCGCAGAGGATGAGTGTGGCAAGACGCGAAGAAGGAGGATGCCGTTGGAGGCGCAGACATCATTCGCCTTCGGCTCAAGCTCGGAGCTGCGCGTCCAAAAGGGTGGAGGCAGCTCAAATTGCTCAACGCGCCGCCCGCGCCGCCCGAAGTTCCCACGTTTTCTCGCCGCGCTCGGCCCCGCCCCCATGCGTTTCCCCGGACTTTTTCTCGCCAGGCTGCCTTACCGGACTTCAATACGACCGAAGACTGATTTCTTTTCACCGACAAAACGCGAAAGCGTGAAATTTAATGACCAGCAAAAAATCGAACACGAAAAATCGGACCGGATTTAGGATCTTGAAAGATGAAACTT